CTCTCCCTCACTGCCAGTTCAAACTCACTGCCCGCTCTCCCTCACTGCCAGTTCAAACTCACTGCCCGCTCTCCCTCACTGCCAGTTCAAACTCACTGCCCGCTCTCCCTCACTGCCTGTTCAAACTCACTGCCCGCTCTCCCTCACTGCCTGTTCAAACTCATCACCTGCTCACCCTCACTGCCTGTTCAAACTCATCGCCCGCTCACCCTCACCACCTGCTCTCCCTCACCGTTTGTTCACACTCATCGCCTGCTCACCCTCACAACCCGCTCACACAAACCACCCCACTCACACTCACCACCTGCTCTCCCTCACTTCACTACCTGCTCACACTCACAGCTTGCTCACAGTCACCACCTGCATCTGAGTCACACGACAAGTCTGTGACTTTAAATCAAGGATCCCCAGGCCTGATCTGCAGTGCAGGAGTGGATTAATGCATAGGCCAGGCTTCCCCAGGACAACACAAGCACAGTTTGCAGATTTCCCTGCTCAAACACACATTATTCAGCTCTGCAGCAAGCCGCCCACATTTAGTAGGTATGTTTGAGCCGGAAAATCTGCAAATTGTGTTGCAGACTGATTCTCCTGGACTGGCGCAGGCCATCCTAGGCTACAGCCTGGGGCCCCAGCAGTAAAAGAAGGGGCCCCACCTCGGGAAAAATGACGAGGTTAGTTGGACGGCCAACACCTGTCCGTGCTGATGTCAGCCTGGGGCCCGCAGATAAGTTAATCCACCACGACTTGTTCCATTAAATTATTATTTATGTAGTGAGTTCATTTCCATGTGTTCATGCTTAGTTAGGATGCTCATATCCAAGGGCTCTCCAGGAGGTCCACAGCGCTGCTCGAAGGTCAGCTGACATCATCATGATAGCTATACACCAAACTGTGAGGCTATGACCTCCGCTCAGTACAGACGGGTGTCTCTGACCGGCTTCCTGGTTCCTCTCTTCTCTCAGGGCCCACACCTGTTTTAACCGGCTGGACCTGCCGCCCTACCCATCGTGCACCATGCTGTACGAGAAGCTGCTGATCGCCGTGGAGGAGACCAGCACCTTCGGCCTGGAGTGAGGCAGGTCGCGGAGCCTGCAGCCTGGAGCGAGGCAGGACATGGAGCCTGCAGTCTGGAGCGAGGCAGGCCGTGGAGCTTGCAGCCTGGAGTGAGGCAGGCCGCATAGCCTGCAGTGAGGCAGGCCACATAGCCTGCAGTGAGGCAGGCCGCATAGCCTGCAGCCTGCAGTGAGGCAGGCCACGGAGCCTGCAGCTGTGGAGCCTGCAGCCTGAAGCCGGCAGGCAGACTTGGCTCTTTTCTGATGAATCGGGCTTTCAGCAGACAGAATTGCAATTTCTTGATTTTTTCCAGTTTCTATTTTTTTTTACCGTCTGTGCACATGCATGTGTGACTCCCTGGCTGTGATGTCCTCTCGCGGGGGCTTACACAAACCCAGAAGTATGCAATAGCTGACAACCTACAGCACTCAACGCCTTCGCCTCCGTCCCTCTGACTCACGTTGCGCCTAATTACCCATAATGCCTTGGGTCCGCCCCCCCCGCATCCCCCGGAGCAAGGCTGCCACTATGCACCGAGACATGGTTCACCTGTGCCCACAACATTGTTTCATGTCAGTACAGGAAGTTGGAAGGCATCTCCCAGAATCCCGTTCAGCATCCCACATGACCTTGAATGCCAGCTAGCAAACAGTGGATACGAGCCAAACCAAGGCTGTTTTTGCATTTATGTTAGAGAAACAGTTTCAGGCTTGATTTATCTTGGAGTTGGAGGTGGGGGGTAAGCGACGCGGCCAGGCCAGAGGGACCATGGGGGTTTATACGTACAGAAAGGCAGTGACCACCACGGCAAACCATCCCTGTTTGGAGAGCTGGAGGTGTGGCCTGTAAGGGGGGGGTAAGCGAGGCGGCCAGGCCAGAGGGACCATGGGGGTTTATACATACAGAAAGGCAGTGACCACCACGGCAAACCATCCCTGTTTGGAGAGCTGGAGGTGTGGCCTGTAAGGGGGGGGTAAACGAGGCGGCCAGGCCAGAGGGACCATGGGGGTTTATACATACAGAAAGGCAGTGACCACCACGGCAAACCTTCCCTGTTTGGAGAGCTGGAGGTGTGGCCTGTAATGGGGGGGTAAGCGAGGCGGCCAGCCAGAGGGACCATGGGGGTTTATACATACAGAAAGGCAGTGACCACCACGGCAAACCTTCTCGTGCGTCCTGCAGTTTCATCCCTTCATGATGCACATTGGCATGAATGTTCTGTCTGTCTGCAGTGACCCATCATTGTCCTCCTATAAAGGAGCTGGATTTAGCGGGGCTGCATTAAGGAGGCAGTGGATGATCTGATTGTGAAGACGTCCTTCAGATGAAATGACATGCTTCTCAAACAGCATTTTTTTCCACTAATGCCTAAGAACCGTTAGTAATGTTTTACCGGGAAATTCAGCCGGGAAACATTTATGTATTTATGTAATTCAACACTCTTATGAAAAGTTTAATTAATTTAAAGATTTTTTTGTTGGTGTGTGTAAAGCATTATGTGGGGGGGGTTCTCTTCTTTTGGTTCTGTTCGATGGCAGGATCTGCAGAGTCCCTTAATGGATGGATGGATGGAACACTTTACACCCGTCCCTCAGCCCAGCCCCGGGGCCCTGTGCCCACAGAGGGTGCCCTGTGCACTTGGGCTGGTTCCCCCAGCAGATCTCTCTCTGTGCCCTTCAGAGCCTTTGTCACGTTATTTAGACTGGATCAGATTATCAGCTGTATTGATCCCAGGGGGACGTTCTTGTGCATAAAGCAGCAGGATCCACACAGCACAGGCAGACCATTCACTTAGTGCTACACAGACATGGTGCAGTGATGGTGCAGTGATGGTGCAGAGTCACCTTCCACCAAAGTCGGCATCAGGGGCTCGTTTCGCCTTTTACTCGACGTTGGGGCCACATGGTTCTTCTTCCCAACCTTCTGCCTGCCCTTTACCCTTCATTTTACACCTGAACCCAAACAAAATGTGATTTACACCGTCTGTTTTAACGGAAGATTATAGCCATGACAGTTTTGCATGCCGTGTTCCAGATGTGAAAACTGATATTGCCATGTCTCTAATGTAGCTGCCCAAGAACAGAGACTTAGGGGTGTTCAAGGAATCGTTACAGGTGTGAATCCATAAGCCTTTCGCTATATTTATCTCCTAATGTATGTTTATGAAGGAGCTGTTAATCTTGGCTCAGTTTGCCGTTGGTCATCAATAATGTTCACAATGAAAAGTTCACTGGAAGGTGACAGTCATCTAATTTTATTAAAATACATTTATAGCTGATAGGAATCATGTAAAAAGGCTAATATGCAATATGCATTTGTAATTACAATTGTATTTATTAATTTGTTTTATGCTTGATTTATATTTAAAGTATTTATTTATTTGTATATTAATTTGTAACTGATATGTAAAGTGGATCCATGCAAATTAAAATCCACAGAGATAAAAATTTAAGAATCTGAATGGCTGTTGCTGGATGGGTTGTGCTGGCTTTGAAACAGTCATATAAGTGGTTGATCACTATAACCATGATCACTGTATAAGCGGGTGATCACTATAACCGTGACCACTGTATAAGCGGTTGATCACTATAACCGTGATCACTATATAAGGGATTGATTACTATAACCGTGATCACTGTATAAGCTGATGATCACTATAAACGTGATCACTGTATGAGCGGTTTCCACTGTCGTTAATACATTAACAAAAGCATAAAGAGCTCCCCTTTTAAATAATATTACTGCCATTAGTGTTCATAAGTTCACACTTAACCAGAATTAGCTTTATGAAAGATATTTTTCCCAGTACCGAGTCCTCGCTTTGTTTGTAAGCTCTTCTTGATATGGGCATTTCTCTCGGCCACGTTCTTTCAGCATACTTTCTATGCATATTAATTATCACTGACAAAAAATAAAATAAAATAAATGAGAACTACGGGATTACTGGTACATCAGTCACTGTGTGTCACTGTGTGGAGATAATTTAAAATGTGCCCCTCCCCTGGCATGGCGGATGTAGTCGCGATGATGTCCCATGCCCATTCCTACTTTAGGAGAGAATAAAGAAGACAAACTGGTTTTAAAAGTCTGTGTTAATGGAGTGCGTGTCTGCCCTCGGACCCTGGCAGTTAACAGGCCCCGCCCCCCTCTCCACTGCCCCGCCCCCATCTCCACTGCCCCGCCCCCTTCACCCTGGACCACCCTTCACCCCCCATTCTGACGGTGAGTCTTCATCTCATGTTACAACTGTGGAAATGGAGCATGTGTCTGCCCTTGGACTCTTGAGGCTCGCTGGCCCCGCCCCATCTGCTCTGGCCCCGCCCCATCTGCTCTGGCCCCGCCCCATCAGCACTGACCCCACCCTCATCCACCCTGGAATCCCCCCATTCTGACAGTGATGTGGGACTCTGAATTCTCAGGCTGTGCTTTGTACTCAAGCATATCACTGTAAATGAATGTCAATAAACAGTCATTTTGTATCACACTAGTGTGTGTGTGTTTGGTGGTGTGTGTGTATGTGTGTGCACATAAGTGTGTGTGCGAAGGTGTGTGCATGTGTAGGTTCGTGTGTGTGCACAGGTGTGTGTGTGTTTGTGGATGTGGGTGTGTCTGCGTAAGTGTGTGCCTTGCGTCTTCTGTTTCCATGGCGATTCTGGTGACACACTCTCTGCATAATTTAATATATTTTTGGGAATCATACAAAATAATCTCTGGGAATTCTGGCACACTATAGGTCATAGGAGGGTGCCACAGCAGCTCAGTGGGCCACACTGCAGTCTCACCTGCAGGGCTGCGGGTTCAGTGCAGGTCATAGGAGGGCGCCACAGCAGCTCAGTGGGCCGCACTGCAGTCTCACCTGCAGGGCTGCGGGTTCAGTGCAGGTCATAGGAGGGCGCCACAGCAGCTCAGTGGGCCGCACTGCAGTCTCACCTGCAGGGCTGCGGGTTCAGTGC